TGGAATATTTTCTGGGCTATAAAAATCCGCATTTCAGAACGGATCTATTCTGAGATGAACTAAGTATTGTTGAGAGATGTTCCACCATATATTTTCGGAAGCTGTTCAATTCGGCTTTCGTGTACCGAAACATCTGTAATGACTTTAAACATAATAGCAGTATCAGATTAAATAAACGTCGTATCAAAAGCAGCTAGACTATAAAAAAACACGTGAATCCTAAAGTAACTCTCTTCTCAGAGTTTTCCTCTTTCGAACACTGTGTTATGAACTTTCCATGCTGAAGGTAAATGAGCTGCGAATGCTTCACACTAAAACCAACCAAAATAAGTTCCCACTATAACATATTAATGAACATTTCGTTGTGTATACAATTTATATCTAACAAAAGAATCTATTGTTTTATACGTTATTTTTGTTAATTTTGTTTTAATAAATGTTATCTTTGCTTTGCAAATCAATTGGTCAGCTATTTTGTAACGTATTCTTTGCACCACCATTGTTCCATCTGCTATAAAATGTTCTTGTCAGAAAATAATTTAATTATTGACGAAACTAATCACTAAAATCGTTCTATGGAACGGCGTATCAGTAGATACCTCTGGTTTGATATCAACATTGACAATAGCTAGTAAATGATCTTAAGTCCCTAGGGCGGTGGTGGAACTTCAGTGATGTATTTCTCAGTGTATAATGTCTGAACCAATTTCAAGGTGGTTGCCTTGATTTCCTGTTGCATAAGTGTTGCATAAGTAGTACGTGTTGGACCAATGATCTGAATTAGTTCGGAGACGACGTAGAAGTCTCTGCAGTCTCTCGCTTCTCCATCTGTTTACCTCGAGTGCTCTAAGAAAACATTTTGGTAAATATTGAAGTCACCACAAATATAAAACCTACATGAGTGATATTCAGTTCTTAAGAACGATACAGATTGAAACTAATGGCACATGTATGGAAGATAAAGGACTATCTTTTGGGGGCTTCCTGCTGCATGGAAACCCATCTTTAATATAGCTGATGAATCTGTGGTTGGAGATATTTTGATGTACATGTTTAGCAATTAGGCGCAAGTATCTGGGATATGCGTGTTTCTTTCCTGGAATAGAGTTATTAATATCGGTTTCAGACAAGAATAGATCAGAACAAGAAGATAGAATACCATATATGGAAAGATGGAATACAGACCCGTCACATTGACTGAGAAGATGATGACTTGGTATTTACTTTTGTTTTTGTGAGGTTGGGTTGGGATATTTGTGTGCGTATGTGTGTGTTTCCTATTTAGGATTCAGTACGTTCGAGAATAGACTAGTTGGTGAGAACGTCCTCAGGAGATGTAACCTGGAATGAATTGTCCAGAGGTACAGCCGTGAAAGCGCTCTTTATACCGGCTTTGAACTGCGACACTAGAGGCCATTCATAAAATAAAGGCACAATAGTTCTGATATTATACACATGCTGATAGGATAACCTCCTTCGAAGGCGGATAGAACCAAAGCCCAGGAAACGTTTAACCCCAGTACCCTTAAGGAAGAGACAAATAATTTGAGGAAAAAGATACAAGCTTGATAACCCGATTGCACATGTTTCGTTAAACCATAATCAAGGATACAAAACTGATTGTCAGAAATATTATACCGTTTTTGGCCTAAGTTACTGTTATGGGGTCCACCTCTTTTTCATACTCATGGACTCGACCAGTGTGTTTTTGTACTGCTGCCGGTGAATACCCAGAAGGTAGAATCAGAAGAGTGAGTAAGAGAGATACATTGATACAGTGAGAGTGTGAGGTAACCGCTTTGTAGGAGTCACAGTTGCGAGCACGTAGACTCAGAAGGAAGACCTACTTCGATACTGAATTTCCCAGACTATATATATTATTATTGCTACTAACCGCATTTCTAGATCTACTAACCGTATTACCAATTGTATTATTACGTCAATACATTTATTTGCTATATTTCATTCCTGTGTTTGTCATTCAGTTGAGACCGGATTTCATCTCGGAATCCGCAACAGTTACCAAGACAAAATCGCTCATATTACTATATATATATATTTATATTTCATAGAATTTACGGCTTGCGTCTGGTATTCCGTGAACGTTATCGTCACCAAGCAATCTTCTATGTCAGTATAATAGAATATAATCTTCCATAGGGAATATCTTTGCTTAGATATCCGTAAAAACGCTCTGAAGTTGGCACATGTGAGCCGGAAGCTTAGATCAAGGTACAGCTTAATACAAAAATACCCAAATGATGGAGAATTTTTTGTCTTTGCTTTAATTTCGGATGAAAATAAAGAGACTTTAGAACGTCTCATGATCAGACATAAGACATTCATTTTCTATTTATATTTAACAATATATGTTTAAATAATATTTCTCTCTCTTACTCTCTCTCTCGACATATATATATATATATATATATGTGTGTGTGTGTGCTTGTGTGCGTGTGTGTGTGTCTGTGTGTGTGCACGCGTGTGTGTGTTTGTGTATGTGTAATAGAGAGTGCGTGTGCGTGCGTGTGTCATTGGGTGTAAGGAATCTTTTTTATAGTTGAATTGATATATCTGAGTATGATACACTGTGTCATTGTATTACTCTCTATGTCAATTTGAAAAACAGACAGAACAGTCAAAATAATATGCTTTTTGTGAAGCATTCATGTAAAAAAAGAAAAAACAAAGAGACTTGATAAAAGAAACGTGGTTCTACAGAAGGATGCTGAGTATAACAGGGACCGGACATGTGAAAAAAAAGACGAAAAGTTAAAGAAACTAGAAACCAAAACGAAACTTACGCTTAATATCAGGAAGAGACAGTTGAAGCACATAATGAGGAAAGAGGGCTTAGAAAATGTGTCACAAACAAGGCAAGAGGAACGAAGGAAAGTAGCGGATAACCTCCTCAAGGAGCTTAGCATATTAACAGAAGAGCAATTAAGAGATAGCAAACGGACACATTTTACTAAGGGTTAAAAAGGAGAGGAAGTTGTGGAGAGCAATCATCGCCTCGGCCCAGAAGGGAATTCAGTACGTAGAAGATATCTATATATGCCTATATATATAGGGTGTAACCCGGATATAAGAGAAACCTGGATATAAGAGAGATTTTCTCTGGTCCCAAATTAGAGCCTGTGTTAATGTATATAAAATAAACCAAAACTCGGATATAAGAGAAACCCGGATATAAGGGACTTCTTGTCCGGTCCCGACAACTCTCTTATATCCGGGTTACACTATATATATATATATATATATATATATATATATATATATAGTTTTAAAAACAAGGAATGCATTGATTTTAATTTTAAGTCTCTAGGGCCCTTTCAGCCAACATCTCATCAGGAGACAATCGTTGGATTAGCGAAAAGAATATAAACGATATTGAAGAGCAAAAAGAGGGGGAAAACACTAAAATAACAAACAAGTATATATACTTGTAACGAGGGAAGGGAAAAGAATCGTGTAAATAAATTAGCGACGGACAGTTAAAATAAAATATCCCCAACAGATTCAGAGACTTTATAAATTCTTTCTGCCGGCAAAGAGGTTTTTCTTAATCCTATACAGACCGATTCCAAAATCTTCAAATGATTATTGGAATCGGCTGTATGAATAATTTTAAACCACTCTTTTTAAACAACTTGGCGCAAGCTATATTCTCAACTAAATGTTGAGCAATAGCCGATTCCATATTCATGGGGGAAGATAGCATATTCTATCTATCTTACCAAGTCGTATTTTGGAAGGTACGTGCTGATTGATTCTAGTTTCCAAATGCAAGGTTGTACGCCCCACATAACCAGCAGCACACTGGCAATTAAATTCATATACTAAATTACTCAATTTGATGTAGGGCAATACATCCTTGCGAAAAGACGCAAACGCAGACCTAGTTCGAAAAATGCTACGTAAAGCAACTGATGGGAAACAACCGGAAACTTGCGCCAAGTTGTTTAAAAAAGAGTGGTTTAAAATTATTCATACAGCCGATTCCAATAATCATTTGAAGATTTTGGAATCGGTCTGTATAGGATTAAGAAAACCTTCTCTTTGCCGGCAGAAAGAATTTATAAAGTCTCTGAATCTGTTGGATATTTTATTTTAACTGTCCCTCGCTAATTTATTTACACGATTCTTTTCCCTTCCCCTCGTTACAAGTATATATACTTGTTCGTTATTTCGTGTGTTTCCATCTTTTTTGCTCTTCAATATCGTTTATATTCTTTTCTCTAATCCAACGATTGTCTCTGATGAGATGTTGGCTGAAAGGGCTCTAGAGACTTTTAATATTAAAATCAATGGTTTCTCTTTTTAAAACTATTTATAAATTTTGTACCTCCAAACATTTCTCTCTATCTCTCTCTCTCTCTGTGTGTTTGAAGCTTTTTCTGATATATGTACGTTTTTTTTTTTTTCTTTCTTTCTTTCACCCCTATATTTATTATCCTTTTATTTTTAGTTCTTGAGCTATTTTACTTTTCATACAGGTATTATTTTATTTCATTCCTTTTTCTTTCTATCCCCCACTCTTTCTTTCTTTCTTTCTTTCTGTTATTGATTCTTTCTTTCTTTCACCCCCGCCTTCTGTCTTTCTTTTTTTCTTTCTTGCCATCCCCGCTATTCTTTCTTTCTTTCTTTCCACACTATTATTTCTCTTTTTCTTTCATTTTTGCTTGTTTCTTTCTTTCACCACACTTCTTTATATTCCTAATCTTCTTTCTTTCTTTCTTTCTTTCTTTCTTTCTTTCTTTCTTTCTCCACAGTTCAACTTATCGTTTTTTCTTTCTTTTATCGCCAGATTTCTTTCTTTCTTTCTTTCTTTCTTTCTTATTTATTTATTCCTACCTCCCTTCTTTCTTCTTTAATCCTTCACTATACTTTCTTTCTTTCTAATCCCACTCTTCTTTCTTTCACGTCCTGGGTATGACGATAAACTACATCCGGGTGCTACTTGGGACGATGAACTGCGTCCAACAGCAAGGCCTCTGATAATACTCTTTTTTTTTTTTTTTTTTAAATAATGTTGCCAGCTGTACGTTTTTGAAAAAAAAGTAATATTACCAGGTATACGTTTTTGAGAAAAAATATTAACAAAAATGTATTTTCGACAAAACAAAAATATTACCAGGAAAAAAAAAAGTTGTCGGCATTAAATGACCCATTGAGGTTGATATGCCGTAAAACAAAACAAACTTTCTTTCAATCTCCACTCTTCTTTCTTCCTTTCTTTCTTTTTCACCTTTCTATTTATCTTTATTTATTTCTTTTTCCAGTCTTCTCATTTTCTATCACTATTCTTATTTCCTACCGCTAGATTTCTCGGTTTGTCTTTCTTCCTTCTTTATTCTCTTCTTTCTTTCTTTCTTTCTTTATTCTCTTTTTCTTTCTTTCTTTATTCTCTTTTTTCTTTCTTTCTTTAGTCTCATTTTTCTTTCTTTCTTTATTCTCTTTATTCTTTCTTTCTTTCTTTATTCTCTTTATTCTTTCTTTCTTTCTTTATTCGCTTTATTCTTTCTTTCTTTCTTTATTCTCTTTTTTCTTTCTTTCTTTCTTTATTCTCTTTTTTCTTTCCTTCTTTATTCTCTTTTTTCTTTCTTTCTTTCTTTATTCTCTTTTTTCTTTCTTTCTTTCTTTATTCTCTTTTTTCTTTCTTTCTTTCTTTATTCTCTTCTTTCTTTCTTTCTTTCTTTATTCTCTTTTTTCTTTCTTTCTTTCTTTATTCTCTTTTTTCTTTCTTTCTTTCTTTATTCTTTTTTCTTTTTTCTTTTCTTTCTTCTTTCTTTCTTTTTTCTTTCTTTATTCTTTCTTTTTTCTTTCTTTCTTTTATTCTCTTCTTTTTTCTTTCTTTCTTTCTTTCTTTCTTTTCTCTTTCTTTATTCTCTTCTTTCTTTCTTTCTTTCTTTATTCTCTTCTTTCTTTCTTTCTTTCTTTATTCTCTTCTTTCTTTCTTTCTTTCTTTATTCTCTTCTTTCTTTCTTTCTTTCTTTATTCTCTTCTTTCTTTCTTTCTTTCTTTATTCCTTTTTTCTTTCTTTCTTTCTTTATTCCTTTTCTTTCTTTCTTTCTTTTTTATTCCCTTCTTTCTTTCTTTTCTTTCTTTTATTCCTTCTTTCTTTCTTTCTTTATTCCCTTTTTTTTTCCTTCTTTCTTTCTTTCTTTCTTTATTTCTTTCTTTCTTTTTCTTTCTTTCTTTATTCCTTCTTTTTCTTTATTCCTTCTTTCTTTCTTTCTTTATTCCCTTCTTTCTTTCTTTCTTTTATTCCCTTCTTTCTTTCTTTCTTTATTCCTTCTTTCTTTCTTTTTTCTTTCTTTATTCCTTCTTTCCTTTTTCTTTCTTTCTTTTATTCCTTCTTTCTTTCTTTCTTTTTCTTTTCTTTTCTTTTATTCCCTTCTTTCTTTCTTTCTTTATTCCCTTCTTTCTTTCTTTCTTTATTTTTCTTTCCTTCTTTCTTTCTTTCTTTATTCCCTTCTTTCTTTCTTTCTTTATTCCCTTCTTTCTTTCTTTCTTTATTCCCTTCTTTCTTTCTTTCTTTATTCCCTTCTTTCTTTCTTTCTTTATTCCCTTCTTTCTTTCTTTATTTTATTCTTCTTTTTTCTTTTATTCCCTTTTTTTCTTTCTTTCTTTTTCCCTTCTTCTTTCTTTCTTTCTTTATTCCTTCTTTTTTTTTTCTTTCTTTATTCTTTTTTCTTTTCTTTCTTTATTCCTTCTTTCTTTCTTTCTTTCTTTATTCCTTCTTTCTTTTTTATCTTTCTTTATTCCCTTCTTTCTTTCTTTTTCTTTCTTTATTCCCTTCTTTCTTTCTTTTCTTTATTCCCTTCTTTCTTTCTTTCTTTCTTTATTCCCTTCTTTCTTTCTTTTTCTTTATTCCCTTCTTTCTTTCTTTCTTTCTTTATTCCCTTCTTTCTTTCTTTCTTTCTTTATTCCCTTCTTTCTTTCTTTCTTTCTTTATTCCCTTCTTTTCTTTATTTCTTTCTTTATTCCTTTTTTTTTTCTTTCTTTTTTTCCTTCTTTTTTTTCTTTCTTTCTTTATTCCTTCTTTTTCTTTTCTTTCTTTCTTTATTCCTTTTTCTTTTCTTTCTTTCTTTATTCCCTTCTTTCTTTTCTTTCTTTCTTTATTCCCTTCTTTCTTTTCTTTCTTTCTTTATTCCCTTCTTTCTTTTCTTTCTTTCTTTATTCCCTTCTTTCTTTTCTTTCTTTCTTTATTCCCTTCTTTCTTTTCTTTCTTTCTTTATTCCCTTCTTTCTTTTCTTTCTTTCTTTATTCCCTTCTTTCTTTTCTTTCTTTCTTTTTCCTTCTTTTTTTCTTTCTTTCTTTCTTTATTCCTTCTTTCTTTTCTTTTCTTTCTTTATTCCTTCTTTCTTTTCTTTCTTTCTTTATTCCCTTCTTTCTTTTCTTTCTTTCTTTATTCCTTCTTTCTTTTCTTTCTTTCTTTATTCCCTTCTTTCTTTTCTTTCTTTCTTTATTCCCTTCTTTCTTTTCTTTTCTTAATGCAACCAAGTAGTGTCTTTCCCCATCCTTCCACGCGATCATAACGCAGAATAGTCTATTATTTATGAGCTATTGACAGGAGACATTAAACACTTCTTTCTTTCTTTCTTTCTTTCTTTCTTTTCCGCTGATTGATATATCAGTTCTCGCAACTGTTATGTTTTCCTTCATATTTAATAATAATGTACGTCAAGTGAAAATGAAAATTGGGAAGGTCAATATTCTATTGAGTAAAAACTGCCAAACTTGAAGATCCATATCTAGTGAGCTGTCTTTCAAGTTAGCGCCACAAAATTTGGAGCCGCAGCGAGAAAATGAAACATTTTTCTACTCTCTTTCTCTCTTTTTCTTTCTTATTTTTCATCTTTCATACTTGAGTCTTACCTTTTCTTTGGAATACATTTTCTTTCTTTCTTTTTTGTTTGTGTGTTTGTTTCTTTTTTTCTTTCTTTCTCTTTTGCATAGAATTATAGATTGTTTTTGTAATTGTATTTGTTTTTCTTTTCTTTTTCTTTGTATCTCATTATTTTTTATTCTTTTTGTTTGTTTTTTTTGCTATTTCTTTGTTATTCTTTTTTTGTTCTTTCTTTCTTTTTTCATTCTTTCTTATTCAAGTGACTTTTAAAATATTCTTGACATATCTTTTCTTTTTCATATTTATTCTGCAATTATTCATCTTATTTCTTTCTTTCTTTGGTACTTTCTTGTTCTGTTTTGACTTCTTTCTCCACCTCATTTTATCTTTCTTTGTTTTTGTTTCTTATAATCTTTTTTTTTTTTTGTCTCTTTTTTTTACTAGTGACATCATAATGCTGTTTATTTTGTTTTTTCTCCCGATTTTCTTCCTTTCCACTTTCTTTTATTCTCTTACTTTCTTTTTTATTCGCTTCATTTCTTTCTTTTTTCCTTTTTGTTTTTCCGTTTATTTTTGTCATACTTTTTTTTTCTGATTTTCTTTTCCTTCTGTTTTGACGTAATTCCATTTTTTTTCTTTTTTTCTTTCGATTTTCCTTGTATTCTTTTTCTTTCCTCTATTCTTTCTCCTTCTCAATAGATTATTTTCTTTTTTCTCTCTTTTTGGCATTCCGTTTCTTTTAATTTTTTCTATCTATTTCTTTGTATTATCTTTCTTTTTTTAATACCCTTTCTTTAATTTTATTCTCTGTTTCTTTCTTTCTCTTTTCATTGCCTTCATTTTCTCTCCTTTCACTTGTATTCTTGTCCAGAACTGGTAATGAAGGGAAGAACGATAATAATTGCAAACAATGACGTGACATGCGCAGTGAAGCGCGTGACGCCATCTTGAATCTAGATACTTCAAGCCCCATTCTTACGAGCAAACGAGTTAACATCCCTTGCACATGCTCCCCAGGATCTGTTCAGCTGTATATTTTTACACGCATGCGCAAACACATAGCCAGAGAACGTCCATACATATGTTATGCTCTCAAACATAAACACTCTCGTTTGGTATAAAATTCGGCAGTGTTTATTCAGGTCCTGACGTTTATTGAGTGGTGGAATATACTATTTAGAACTGCTGGGCATTTAAATTATATGTAAGATCTTTATGAAATATTACGCTGTTGGGTTCAAGGCTATCAGAATTTTAAAGCAAAATGCCTATGAACTGCGAATGCTAAAAGGAGAATGTCGCTTCTTTAGATAAGAAAGTGTAACGATTTCTTAAGAAACATATATGTCTCGACCTAGAATCCTCAATACATACACAAAAGCACTGGACTGTTTTTGGGACTCATCAGTAGTGTATGCCCTCTGCCGACTAGGAGAATCGAACCCGAACCGTAATGATACGATATCATTGGACCAGTGGTCTACGGTGGTGAAGCTCAAAATAAGTAACTAGACAGAATATAGCACAGTATTCTCATACAGACATAACTTACAAGACTGGTCCCAAGAGCAACGGCCTCCGTCACCCAGCCGCTCAATCCAGAGCATTGAAAGCTATATATATATATATATATATATATATATATACACTCTGTTTCGCTGTATCAAAAGTTCACCAGTGTGATTAGACTTCCGATTACTTCAAGCCGGGATCGAAACTCAACCGAATTGACATCGGTCAGAGACTATTACCTCTAGATTATCGGAGCACAGCAGAGAAAGGGAATTTTAACGCATTATGTACGTGCTATATAAACGCCATAGCGCGTGATTCTTACAAAGAGCGATGCATTACAACAGCACCAGCCGTTAAAAATTCACTTTACTCTATAGTGCACAATCGGTGAACGAGAGCATAAATAGTACACACACCCACACATACACACGCGTATATATATATTTTTATATAAATTTTGAAAAAAGTTTTATGAAAATTGGAAAAAGATTTTGTGACGCATTTCGGCATTTAAGACCTCATCGGGCTGAGTGTGTTTATGTTGTTTTGACTGCACATGCGTATAAACGAGAGAAGCTGGGGTTTCAATTTATTTTCAAAAATTCTTTTATGTAATCTATCCAAATTCATCTATATTCTTTGTTTCTTTTTTTCTTTTTCATCTTTCTCCCATTTTTCCAGATTCCAGATAATCTATAAAAAAGGTGAGACTTTGGATGAACCTCTGAATAAATTTATTGTGGATGAACAACAAAAAGAAATTCTTTAAAAATTTTGAAACTACCAGCGCCTCTCGTTCATGTGTTTATATTTTTAAAAGATTAGCTAGCCTCATGGTCAAAAATAATAACTCCTCTGCAAGATCCAAGTTACAAAGAACAAATATTTGCGAATTTTCTTGTCCTTTAAGGAGCTGTGTTGCTGAGTAATCCATATATTTAAATAATTATATTTGATATACTACATCATGTTTAACAAGAAGGCCCACATTATATCTCTCTGACTATAGCTCAATTAGGTCACATTTAAATAAACATGGAGACTTATCAAACACTATCCGTAACATACTTGTTGATAATACGAATATATTAACATCCACATGTACAAAAAGGATAAATATAATGGAAGTATTATTAATAAAAAGGAAAAAGCCGACATTCAATATTATCAACTATGAACACGGCCACAATATGCTGATCGTGTTTGTAAAATAAAATATTCCTAGATATGTACATAAAATAATCCATATGTTCAGTTAAACGTAAAATAAAGCACTTGGAAATCATCCGGAAGATCTTTATATAATTTATGTCCGGAAAAAAAGTAAAAATATACTAACACAGGATAAATTATGAAAAAAAAAATCAAACACCGTAACTTGCATAAATGTGGGGATGCTGCCGAAATACACAAAATATACACCCTTGTAAAAATTAATTGAAACAACCGCTTAAGTTTCCTTTCTTTCAACATACGGTCAGTTTTAAACTCACTGGAGTGACAGGGTCTAATAGATTTCTATATTTCCTTAGATTAGGTCATTTGCAGTGGCGTGCAGTAATATGAATCTATTTTCAAAGTGTTTGATGAAATTTTGTTTGTCCATAAAAAATATTGCATTATCCTTGATTGCAGTAGATTTTTATCACGCCCGGAAACTCTTGTCTCGACTGTTGATTAGTTGTCCTACGGCCATTGACTGCGATGGACGTTAATCCGAGGAAACCTACGAAAATTGTAACGCTGCACGCCCACACAGCCAAGTGTTAACAATGAGCAAATCAAAGTACTGTCGACTAACACGGAAACTTTCCTGATTTAAATCTAATCGAGGATCTGTGATCAATCTGCAAGGAAAGATTTCATAGAATGGACATACGAAGTACTAACATGTGAACTGGGTCATGTTTCACTGAAAAAAAAAATACGAAAAAATAAATAATAACGGAATTCGTTTTGTTTATATTAATTTGAAAAGGGCGTATATATATATATATATATATATATATATATATAGTTAACTCTCCGTCGAGATTCAACGTATGAGGGACAAGCAGGTCAGTTTCAGAAACCGACAGCCCGACACCGGCACATGAGATTTGATTATAGTGGTGAAAGCTTCGTGCAGGACCATCCACACTTTTTGAAGGGACGAATACAGAGACATGGTGCACCGAATGCCACAAGGTTCCCAAACGACCCTCCGCAGGTTTTGAATTCAGAGTTGTCCTTCTCCTAGACCAGTTTCCATCCAAGGCTATAGAACCCAGTCTGTCCTGCTATTTTACCCTGGAGGGAGAGGAAGAGGATTCATACCTTTCCCAAGGGTATTAGCACGTAAGTGAATGTAATGGATTCGACTGGAATTCGAACTCGGCTCTGCGATTCCTCAATCCAAGCCGCTATCCATTACTCCACCATGCCTATATATATTATGTTTATATATATATAGGCAGTGTATCTTCATTGAAGCATGTTTTGTTAAATAATCCGGATTATATGATGTTTATTTTCTTTTGATCGTCTCGAATTCTCTTATTGATTTCTTAATTTTGATATTAAATTCATTAAGAAAAGCGCCCTAGGGTTTTCTTTTTCTAATTTTCGTTGATTCCCAAGTAAAAAAGAAAAAACGAAAAACTACGGCGCCTTCCTCACTGAATTTAATATCGACATTAAGAATTTGATAAAAGAATTCAAGAGTATCAACACACACACACACACACACACACACACACACACGTGTGTGTCTGTATTTCAGTCTGGACTGACCGTTAAGAATGGAGTGAATTTAAATATATCTAGTTATCACAAGAGAAATACGTTTCAAAGAGAAATAGTAAACGTATGGATTAAGTTGATTATATAAAGAATTTACATCCTTTTTTTACAAAAATTATAACTAAAATAGATTTTCCATGCATTCAGAGCTCAAATAATTATTTTCTGCTAACCCTATACAACCTTAAAGAAATGGTGCCATAAATCAATTCAAGGCCATCTAATACTAATCTTTGTTGAAATATTTTCCAGGTTAGTTATAAAAACATGGTTGCGAAGGACAAAAAGTTATCTCCCTTTGACTGACACTTTAAAAAGCTAAAACTAGATATATAGATAGTCACGAGAA